GATTTTCTTCTCTGGATCTCTGAAAGCAGGACTACAATCTCCGAACTTGTAAAGTTCTTCTTTTTACTTTGCGATGTCATTAATGAATGAACACTTCCTGGTATCTAGGGCAGGAAACACAGCCTTATATGGTGTTTTTAGGGTGGTAATTATGTAAATCACCTGATACACATTCATCAGTTTACACTGCTCATTTACACACTTTTCCTGAAGATAGAAGAGTTTGTTGAATCTGACGTGACATGTTCGTACGAACCCTTTGTACGAACAAAAGTAAGAGAAATTTAGGATAAGAATATGAACATGTTCTTGCATGAGGCCCAATGACTATAAAATATGATAAAATGTTAATGTGGAAGAATTTGAGATGCCCAAGGCCACCTGATTCAGCTGCATGTAAATCTCTGCCATGGTCATCTTCATACCAGGCTACATAATATGTAGTATGTGAGAAAACATATCAAACATATTATGTTTGATATGTTCTGCTGGAGTTTGACATGATTTGTATCATGTACAGCTGTGATCCTGTAAGTACACACCAACAGGGTGTCAGAATGCTATATATTTATACTTCTCATCCAACCACAGTTACATTCATTATATCCAGGAGGCACCTTATATCTGGAGAGGGTTTTTTTTCTGAATAATGACGAGCCGTAATGAAAACAAGGCAAAGAATAGTTGAAATGAAATGCTTTTGCATTTTTAAAATGTAAGGAGTAGAAAGAACAGATAACAGAATAAGAAGTGGAAGTAAAAAGTTGGCTAAAAATAAAGTTAAAATAATTAAAATTTCTGCTTAATTTAAAGCAGCAAAGTTTTTGTACTTCTTTTCTTGACACCTCTGTTCATAGCCAGCGTGACCAGTCCTAACCACACTCACCCGTCCTCCACCAAGCTCTGTGATATGTACAAGTACATGGGTAGTCTCTGAGAAAATAAGCAAAGTTATTTGAGTGTTTTTGACCAGCGATCTGCGCAGCCATGTTTTGAGAGGTTACGTTTGAAAAGTACGGCCTGTTGTCATTGCATGGGTTGAAAATAAGTGAAGACACTTTGACTGTCATAGAAAGACAAAGTGTCTTCAGTCTGAGGCTTCTTCAACTTCACTGTAATACAGACCGCTACAGAAGATCTCTCCTGCCCACAGCCATCAGCATCTACAATAAGTTTTTAGTTAAATGAGTTACAACAACACCTAATTTCCCTCTGGGATCAAAAAAGTATTTTTGAATTGAATTGAATTGAATTGAATAGTATCCTGGTCCTTGAACATGTTCAAATTTTACGTGACAAGGACTTTGCGACTCATTTGAGGAGATCGAAACCACCCACAAACTTTATATATAACTTGATATTCTGGAGGTCTGTTTGATTGACGTTCACCAACTAGTCTCAAAAGTTACAGCATCATAAACTCCCCAAACTTTATTACCGGTGTTTTCTTCATTCTCATAACCACTGTGGATCTATCATGCCACTGTACTCTTAATTTACGCCTAAAGATCCTGCAAAGAACATCCACGTTCTGGCTGACTTTATTTTTTTTGCTTGTTGTTTTTACATTGTAGAGGGGTCATCATCCAATGTGAAATGGTTCATGACAGATAAATTCTCCATTTCATTCATACAATTTTTGTTTGTTCCCTTACTCACAGCAAACCGTATCCTTCACCTTTGTTGTTAGAGTTTTTGTCCTTAAATGAGGGAATAAAATCAGCTGCTACAGTCCATTGGTTGATTTAATTAAAAGCATCACTTTTCTGTGATGCTCAATGTAAATCTACAGCGAGCACAGTATAGTTATATAAAGTACAGAAAGAGGTGGTCCAGTTTGTGCCTGGCTCTCCGTGTTTGCTTGTCTGCCTTCAGTGCATGGTTGGAAATCAGACTGTGTTAGTGATTCTCTAAGGACTCCTCTCCTTGTGTCCTCTACTTTATCATGGGTTGAACATGTAAACATTTTTAATTCAGACCATCAAATAAAAGCTAAAAGTTCGTATCTGAACCAGTGTGGTTCAAATATTGAGATATAATCTGGTCTGACACATGAAAGAGTCTTTATGTAGCTGGATTCAGGTAACAGAGCTGCTACAGGGAGTGAACCAGACTCTGATTGGTCCATTCTGCTGTGGAAGACTGAAACTGACAAAACCAGGAATAAATACAAAACTGACTCAACAACATTGAAATGTACAAAAACAGCTACATCATAAATTTAATCTTTAATCTTTTTATTTATCATTTAATTTCTATTTTATGTTTTCATTTTTATTAGTTCATATAGTAAGTTTTTAGTATTTTCTTTACTTTTTGTTATTTTCCCATTGCATTTTTTGTTTTCTTTAATATTTCTCCATCTCTTTTTACATTTCTTCTTTATTAAAATATTAGGAAGATGCTATTTCACATCCTGGATTAGGATTCTCATCAGTTGGTTGATCATCTGTGTTTAAGCCTACAGCATCAGAGTCAAAACAATTTCTGTTGCACCCGGGCTAACAAATGGCAAAAAAAAAGTGTGAGAGGGAAGTCCAGCTTGTTGATTCTTTTAAAAGAAATTACAAAATAACATGAAGCAGACCTTTCAAGCAAAAGTCTGTTTTACCTCAAGTTGTAAGAGAGTGCTTATTTAAACAGTGAAACGCCAGCAGCATGACTGAACAGAGACAGGTTTATTCTGTTCCTTCTAATGAGGACATCTCAGATCAGTATCTGATCAGTGAATCTTATTTTCATACAGCTCAAACTGTCTGCTCTCTCCTTGATTCATAAAAAGTTTTATTTGAGGCATTAGAACAAACAGAGACTTGCCAATTTGGGTTGTTTTTAAGTCAGTTCAAGGTGTTCATACAACAGAAGTCAACTCAGGACATTATTTAGTTACATGTAATCATTTTCAAATCAGTTACAGAACAATATCATCAGATTTAGGGCGTTTTAAAATGGCAGTAAAGTAAATAGCCTGTCTAGCAGTATGTCATTGTTAAAGTCAGAAGCCTTTGCTAAATCAACAAGTATACACACTGTCATCAAGGGCTTTTAATGAAAGAGCAGTAATTCAACTATAGATCTGAAGCCAGACTAAAACTAATTAATAACACGAGATTTCAGGTGGTGCAGGAGCTGCTTGTTGTCCTTCTCCAGTATTTTGGAGAGACGGGGCAACAGTGGACAGGGTTCATGCCGGGTCTTAAAAAGTTTAAAGTCTAAAATTTGAAAATCAAAATTTTAGGCCTAAAAAAGTCTTAAAAACACCCAGATTTTCATCCAATGTCTTAAATTTAATTTTGTCAAGTCTTAATTTTTTCTACTTTTGATCATTCCTGAGAACTGTTGGCTGCGTAAATAAAGTTAAGAGTCGTAATCAGAGGTTGGCACGATCTGTCTTCATGAAGTGCTAAGTTTGCTACTGGTCATGATTAAACTACAAATCCCATAATAATTGCAGGCAAAAACGGCACAGTTTACTTCCATGTTTTTGACCTCTTTGCCGCTGCAACCCCCCACATACAGGTGGCTTATTTACCTGCTCAAAAAAACAGAAGTTCAGTCATGTCCACTGCTTGTTGTTTAAATATGGGAAAGTGTGTTTTCAATGAGGCTTGACTTGATATCAGTGATTTTTTTCACTCGGTTGAAAGCGGTTCACAGCAGTCAGATATGACTGTTTCATTCAAATAATTTAGTGTTCTTGTATTAAAATTAAATATTCTTTAATAACTAAATTGATAGCAATAAAAGTTTTGAAGTGAAGTTTGAAGCGAGAGATTAAAAATGTGGGACCTCAAGGTTATAATAGTTTTGGGGTTCTTTGTATAATTTAATTTCATTGTGACTTTTTTCTTTTAATCAGGGTTCCCACGGGTCCTTGAAGTCCTTGAAAGTTTGTGAATTAGAAAAAATGATTACAAGGCCCTGGAAAGTTTGTGAAAACAGCCAAAAATTACACTTGTCCTTGAAAGTCCTTTGAATGTTTTTTGGGGATTGAAATTCTCTATTCACACGACTGATTTTCGAGTCCATTCTCATGCTCCCCGCATCAAGGTTGACGCCGGGGGTACCCCCCGCGCGTCCGTTCTGTACGAGATGGGGCGGAGGAGGACGATGTGTTTTTAGAAGACTAGAATTCTGCGAAAGTAACCATCCTAGACCCTAAATTTAACTTCTACTAGCCTTATAGAGCCTAACCCTGACCACAGACTCTAAAGTTAACCATTAACCCTGATTCCTCAAATTAACCTCAGATGTCACTCAAACCCGGAAAAGCCGCGAGCAGCAAGGATGGAGGTGCGGGGGGTACCCCCCGCATCAACATATAGACGCTTGGGTACTCCATATGTTACGAGTCCGACATGAGTTCATCAACTTTAAAAAAATAATAATAAAATTTAATAAAAAAACAACTTACATTTGTTGCAGTGGATAACTCAAGATTACAGTAAACTGACGTCATTATTTCTTACTCAACTTCTATGTTGTTCAGTTTTTCATTGAATTTATATGATTTTAAACCTAGTTATTAACATTCTGCGGTAGCAGTAGGTAATTGCTGTTGCGCGTGGTTCTTTAGTTTGAGGAAATTGGTACTGGAAAGTCCTTGAAAGGTCCTTGAATTTGATGTTGGCCAAGTTGTGGGAACCCTGTTTAATTCAGTTAGTTTGAATTCGTTTTTAGAGTGAATTTGACAGTTTTTATTAGATATTCTTGCTTTTTTAATGCTTAGTTTTAGTTTAGTTTTCATTAGTTCTATTATTAGTTTTTATAGTTTGAATAAACATATCTGCCAATTCATCCTCCAGCTTGAGGTGTTCCTGTGAGTTAACTAACCAGCAGCTTTTTGGTAGCTGGTGAAAGCAGTCCGTTATGGCAAAACATTCCTAAAATAATTGCATATTGGTAACAAAGGACACGGGTGATTATTTTTAAGAAGGTGACAGTCGTCTCCATCCCGATGCTACCTGGCTGGGCTGTTCGTTGTTTATCGCAGGAGCTACTGAGAGAAGCTAGCTTTTCAAGTTACTCACAGTTAGCTGTCTTGTGTGAGCTTGATTCATGCAGTTTTTCCCTTGAGAAGTATTCCACCTATTTTATCACCTGTTTCCACTTCAAAACACTTGCTTTGATTTTTCTCGCCGTCATATTTAAAGAAATCCCAAATCAAACTTTGCTGCTTTCCCCTAATTTTTGTTATCATTTTTCAGAGGAGCACTGTGCAGCAGCAGACTGTAAGCTGCCCAAAGCTAATGTGAAACTACTCAGTTTGAAGGAGAAATAAAGAATAGTTTAATCAGTCAACACAGCTTAAAATAAATCGACGAACACTAAAAACGAAGGATATAATTTCAGTTAGTTTTAGTTTTGTAAAATACTAATTCTTTTTTCTTTTATTACAGTTTTTACTTATTTTAGTTAACTAAAATGATTTATCCAATTTGAGTTTTCATTATTTCATTATTTTTAGTGAACTATAATAACCCTGCTCCAGACTGAGCCGCTCACCAGGTGTGAGGGAATGTTTTTGTCTGTTGTTCTGATCCAGAGTTTTTGAGGATCAGAGCCGTCTGCAGGCAGTCTCTACTTGAAACAACTTGATCGTGGCTCTCTCTGAGGCTGAGTACATCAGTTTCTTAAAGCTCTGTATAGCTGCCAGTTCGATGTTTTGTTAGAGGCTTTGACTCTGTGCCCAAGAATGTGTTTTTCATGGATACACTCAGACAGGTCAGGACTAAACCAGGTGCGGAGACAGTTTTTTACTCTGATCTGTTTGAGAAGAGCGTGTTTGTTCAGAACAACACTGAATGAGGTTTTGAAGTATGCCCAAGTTTCTTGGAGATGAAGGAAAATCCCATGTTGATTAATGCACCAGAATCTTAGTGTTATACCTTCAGTTTGGTGCGTACAGTCAGAGCTTAGTCATCACAACACTTAACTAGAAGAAGGTGCATGTTTTTAAGAACCTTATGCTCACTACCACAACAGAAAAAGAGTAGAGCAAGATGCTGTCTAAAGCACTCTACACTAAAGCAAAGCAAGAATGGTTAGATCTTATAAAACACAGCCTGTTTGTTTCAAACAGCAGGAGAGCGAGGTTTCCTGGTGTTCTACAGCAGCAGTAGAAAGTGAGAGGTGGAGGTCTGGAAAACCCCAGCAATTGGAATTTGTCCACTTTAAAATAGCCTCCAGTGTTCCTGTTTAATGTGTTTTAAAAGCAAAACCCGACATAAACAGCACACCATAACTCTAATGAGTTTAACATTTATTTATTTTGTATTTCACATTGTGACATAGTTATACGATTTATGTGACCCATCACATCGAAATGAGGTTTAAGTCCAAAAGTGAGATGTGGAGAAATAGGCAAATATAGGGTTTTGATTTAAACGTGTTCAAAATTTGCATTTTGTCAAAACGTAATGAATCATGACTCTTATCAATGTATCATTTGAATGAACTGTCTGAAATGTAATCCTAAAAAAATGTTGAAGCATTTTTTGAGCAGTTAGGATTCAGACCAAACAGCAATGCATTAATGTAACCAACAAGACAAATGAAATCATATAAATGGATTTACTTATGATATCAGAATGATCCAGGTATCAAAATGTAGCTTTTAAAACCAAGAATCTGATAATGTAATTGGGTCATTTTGACCAAATTTGACTTAATCCTCATTTCGATATGATGGGTCACATATTGCCTTTTATTTAGCTTCAAGTCAAATTAAATTAATCCTGTTTACAAAAGAGAAATACATGTCAGGTTTTGTTTGTTACATGGTCTGTTTGTTTACAGCAGATGGATTAAAAAAACAAAAACTTAATTTACACATCAAATGAAAGTTTAAATTCTTATGCAGTCAGTTTTTGTAGTGACAGCAAAGGATCAAAAATTAAACAAGGTAATAAAAATGTTTTGTTTTGTTTTGTTTTTACCAATCATTAATACATGTAGACAACTGGCCAGTGAGTAAATGGAATTGAAATATTTCAAGATGAGTTAAGCTGTATATTTTAAAACATGTTTGGAAGAGCAGTTTATTAGAGAAAAACTAAACATTCAGGTTTTCTAGTGTTTAAGACTTTTAATGGTTATAAGCAGGAAAATAAGTAATTATTGGATTAAATAGGATTTTAATTGGATTGAATGTGCTCATATGTAATGTTTAGTTCCCTGAGAAGGTTTTGTCAATGTCGAATTTATTTATATAGCACATTTAAAACAACAAAAGCTGAACAAAGTGCTTTACATTTCAGTCAAAGACGTGTCAAACACAAAACAAATAAATAAATACAAAATAAAATACAGAAACACTGTAAGAAAAAGACATGACTGGACTGTAGCTGTTAAGAAGGTCACATAAATATGATGGGGCCAGACTATTAAAAACTTTAAAATCCAACAGTAAAATGTTAGCTAATGGAGAGAAGTAGGTTTTGGCGTTGATCAACATGAACATAAACTCATAATTTAATGTCTTGATTAAAACAATTCTTCTGCTCTCTCCTGTAAAACCCTGCAGTGGCTCTGATGGTGACATTTATTGTTTTAAAGATACTCAAACTGTGGCAGATCGAAAAGTGATGAACGAATCTGTCTACATCAAACAATTCATCTAAAATATGCATCAAACGTGTGACCTGCTGGTTCCTGCATTGCAGAGAGGAAACAAGGACAGGAGTTTGACCAGAACACTTTGTGATTGAGTTTGATTCGTTTCCTGCTGGGAGGAAAATCAGCTTCCATCCAAAGCAGAGTCAGAATATTTGCATGGATCAGTTTGCTGCTTCAGACTCACCTCTGTGGCTTGTACTTCAGATGATTTGTCTGTTTTTCCATCACCATGCTGATCAGGAGTTTAGAGGTTTTATCTTTGAACTGTGTATAATCATGTCTGATAAGTGTGTGTTCATGTTTTTAATGCGTGTCCGGACCACATGTACAGGAGATGCTGCGTTGTGTTTGGAGACACCTGGTTGGTGTCCTGAAAGGAGAATCTCAGACACTCTGCTACACATCCAGCCTTCTTCACACACTCGGTTCTGTTACTGTGAGTATGAATAAAGTAGAAAGAAAACATATCAATGTTAAAAAAGAATCTTTAACAGTGTTTCCCCTAGGAAATTGGTCTTGGGGAGAGGGGCTACTTGTTTTATGAAAACATAAATTTACCTGACTCACCTTCTATTTTGTACTACAAAAATATTAACATGGTTGTCAGTCAATTCTATTATCAAAAACATCTTCAATAAACTTTTTGTAGACCTTTCCAGAGTTTCCCGAATTTGTCTTGGGAGGGCTGCTTATGAAAACGGAATGATCAACAGCAGCAGCTTTGTTTTAAATTCAATTTACAGAACATGAAAAAGTCTGAAATTTACATTAATTGAATCTTATATAGTGAATCTCATATCTAAAGATACATTTAAGATATCTTGAACTGGACTCTCCTTACAACCTAATGATAAATCTAATGTTATTTCTGAATATAATTAGAGATATCTTAAATAGGTATTTTGCCTTGTCAAAATATATTAAGAGATGTCTATTTGTTTCATTCATTCATAAGAACAAAACAATATGTACCGCATTAAAAAACAAAGTAAACCTTACCCTGAATTAAAAGGGTGCAGAGTGAAGGAAAAAACTCTCTGTCCCTTATTTTAAAAAATCAATTTCAATAAACAAACAAGCTCAAGCTGGAAAGATCTCCAAGTTTTAAAAAAAATAAGTAAATAAAACAAAACAAAATTAAACAAAAACATTTTATTATTTTATCTTAAATTGCGTCATACCCCCTCTGAGAAAAGATAACTCCGCCCCAAGGCAAAATTTGAAAAATGCATCAAAGTGGGTAGGGGAGGGGG